CAGTGTCATGTGCATACTGAAGATGGGGAAGCTTCTGCTTTGCATTACCCCATCTGAACTCTTAAGTTTTGGAGAGTTGTCTTTGTGCAAAAATTCTTAGAATCAAACTTACTGGGAGCAACAGTGAAAAACAAGCCCAGGCAAAACTTCTACTAAGCTCGTCTTTTCAGGGATGGCTCTAGATATTATATGTTAGCCTACATGTCCTATCCCTTTGTTTAATCTTGGAGAGAAAAGAACTTTTTCAACTTAGAAAATAAAAAAAAAACCCCTCAAACAAACAAAGCCCATATGGTGTTGCAGAACACAGTAAGGTTTCACCTCATGCTCCCTGCTAAACTTCACGTGAAGTATTGCTTGTGCTTGTGCGGAAAATCTCGCTGTCAAGGGATCCAGAAAAGAGCAGGCAGAGAGGCGGTGCTCTCTGTTTGTCCCCAGCTTGGGCTGAATGTGAGTACCTTGGCCTAAACCCTCCTGATATATCTCAAAGTCAAAGCCTCTTGTAAACAGAGACCAATGATCCTGACCAGTTGCAGGGGCAGATTTCCTCAAAGTGTGTGTAAGTGAGACCAGTGAATAGAAAGACAACTCGGAGACCTGTTTTTCAGAAATAAGTGACTCTGTCACCAGACAGCAACTATTTTCTTGCATTCAGGGTTGTGAAGAGACTAAGTGCAGAGCAGTAAAAGCCTTGGCTATTTTAAGTATACCTGAAATGTCATTTCCAGTCTCTATCCAGCCATTCCAACTACGTGTTCACCTTTTAGTGTCCCCCGCCCCCCTCCAAAAGCACCCATGTGCACACACATTCATGCATGCACAAGTGCACACCTATACCCGCTTCTGTTGCTGAAATATTCCCTACGCTTTCTGCTACAATTGGGATTTATGTGGGTAAGAGAGAATAAAATATTTTCAACAGAAATGTGGTTGCCAGGGCAAGGGAAAGTGAAAGAGTCTTTCAGCATCTGAGGTGTTCAGCTGCATCCGGATTTCAAAAACTCCCTCCTCCCTAATGGAAGTTAAGAGCTACTGTGACATTAAGTCACGGAACCGTCAGTGAGGCTGTTCTTTGACAGCTGACAGAGTGGAGGGATGAGGTTTATCCAGCCAGTCTTTTATTCTTTTTAAATCCTCTGAGTGGCTGTCACAGTGAAGCGCCTAGCTAGACTGGTGCTGTCAAAGTCAAAACTCATTTTCCTCGTGGTTCTTCCCCTCCTCCCTCTCTCTCAAAAAACACCCTTAAGTGATTAACTAAGAATTCCAGTTTCTTTCAGCTCTGTACTTGTGTTCCCATCCCGAGAAGAGTTTCTGCTTTCACAGTCTTTGCGGCTGTGAAAATATTTATTAGTCTTGAATGCTTTTGCCCCTAGAGGGGAGAGAGGAAGGGGAAATGAGAAGAAAACTGTGGTGTTTGAGCAATATGTCATGAGGCCCTGGAGAAGACTGTAGTCTTTTGTGAATGAGATGTGAAGAGTGGTGTAGTCATATGTTCTGTAGGGATTTATTTATACCAAAAATGGCTTATGGCCTCCACTATTAATCTATGACTTGACTGCAGAAGAGGGTTTTTTTTTTTTTTCTTACCAATATGGATAGTCTGCAAAATACTACATATAAGATCATTGGTAGTAGGTACTATGGACCTATGTAACAGCACTCTTAGGCTTCTGTGCTATCTAATACTGCAAAAACCTAGTGATTAAGACACACTCGTGTCTGGGCTGTGTTAATGCTGTCCTCCTTGCCAGATGCAAGGACACTGCACGCATAATGCTACTGATGAGAGATCCTTCAAGCTGGCATAGCAGCAGTCGCACTGCTTAAATAGAACTGGTTCTGTCCCACGCATCTGTGAAGACTAGAAGTGCACATGTGCAGCAGTTGTAGTAAGATGTTTTATTAGCTCGTTGGTGATCTAAGCCTTAGTTTGAGCTTTGGTTTGCCTTCTGTGTCCCAATTATAGTTTCAGTTAATTGTTTCTAGGAGGGCAAAATGCCAAATAATACAAAAGCAAGAATTAAATATAGAGCGCAGAATGCATGGATAACGAAATCCACGTGACGAGTATTGGCCAAGGAGTTGGAAGACTCATCTTTTTCTTTTGTACCAAATAATAGTAGACAGCGAGACAGAAGAATATTCTAATACTAGTAAATAAACGTGTATTTCCTTTGTGCTGAGGGATTCTTACTGTAATTATTTTTTCTTTACTATCTCTGTAGTCTGAGGAAAAAATAGTCATGCGACTGCCTTATCGCTTTTGGGCTTTGGACAATGAGCTGTTTCAGCTTTAAATAACTCAGCCTGTTTCTTTAACCCATGAGTTTCAGGCACTCCTCCTTTGCAAGCCTCAGGGATTCCAACCTCACACAGGGCATGTACTTCACTTGCAAACTGTGAGGCTCTTCTGATATATGCATCTCTGGCTGTTAACCAACTTTGTATTTATTACAATATCAGCTGAAGTTACTGTGTGCTGTTCTTGGTGTTTCTTGTTGCCAGTGTCACTGCATTTTTTTTTGTTTGTTTTCAAGTTCTTAGTGTGTCGTACAGAGGGATGATGGGATGAGTGTAAGGGATGGTGGTGGGGGGAAGGCGTTTCAGTGCCTGAAATGGGAGATGACCTCTTACCCTGGAGAGAAAATAGAGAAATAGGAGTCTCTCGTCAGTCCGAAGCTAGAGAATAACCGGCCTGTTGATGCAGGCTGCCTTGGGCATTTGGTCGAGCCCAGAAGATGACTAGATGTCTGAAAATGAAGCCATGATTTGGCTTCTTGGAGACAGGCCTAGAGAAGGGAGTGATTTTGCTCAATTTGCTCACTTTGTCCTGAATTTCTGAAGTGTTCTGACCAGACAGAAAAAAAGAAATCCTGTTTGGAAGTGTGGGCCTAGGGGGACTTGCTTTAGACTTTCTTGGTGCAGATCTGAGGGCTTGAGTCAAAGTTCCCAGTCTGCTGGTTCTGACAGAAAAACGTATGTTGTGGCACTTGATTTTTAGCTCATATATTCTTAGAAACTAGATGGTAGCAGCATTCTTATTTATTATTTTTATTAACCTTTGCTACTTACTCCTGCTTTGTAACTTCTAACCTCTTTCTTGTGGGTTTTTTCCTCTGCAGAGCCAGATTATGAGGTGTTTCTGAATGCTTCTAAAACACCCAAGTTCTCAGATGACCCTACGGAGCTTGAATGCAGGATCACAAATGCTCAGGACTTGGAAGCAAACACCCGCTTTACAGTTTCGTGGTACTACAGGCTGCGGTTGCGCAGCGACGACGTGGTGCCAGAGGAACTCCTGGCCTCCATGGATGCAGACTGGACTCTACTGCTGGGGGACAGGAGCAGGGAGCGGACTCAGAACGGGGAAATAATCTTCTCCAAGAAAGCTGTTAACACCTTCAGTTTACGAATCCAGTGGACTTCAGAAAGTGACAGAGGGGACTATTTCTGTGTCATCTCTGCATGGAGTAGGCACCGCAACAACAGTTGGGTAAAGAGCAAAGATGTCGCTTCTGCACCTGTCAGCATTTTCTGGGCTACACAAGGTAGGAACTCCTCTCTGTTGGCTGAAAGACCTGAATAGGTAGTTTTCTCTCGAGCGACCTCTGTCAGCCAGAAGCCTGATAATGGGCTTTGGAAATGCATTTCCGCTATGAAAAGCGGGGAAAAAAACATTATTTCCGCTTGAAAAGGCAAAAAATTGCAAAGGGAAATAACTACTGAACAGCACTAGCCAGTTCTACGCAACATTTCTGGAGAGGAATGGAAAAAGAAGGAGTACATCCACAGCAGTGTGCTGAGACTTCCAGGAGCCAGTTCGTCACTGCCCTTGCACACACTGCAAGGGTGGCTCCCAGCAGTGACGCCGAGGTCGCTGCTCTCTTTCATGACTCCTGTCATGACAGGGCTGCTCCTGTCTCCTCAGGAGCAACCTCTTGCTCGCAACAGCACGGTCTTGGGGTGAGAAGGGAGATGTCATTCACTTCAAGGCTTTTCTGGCTACTGGTTTGTAGTCCTTCTCTCTTGTGCTTTGTGTTTACAAGCCCATGTTTAGAAGGCACTATTGGGGAAGTCTGTGGGCACAGCAGTATCAGAGGATCAAAAGCAAGTGGAAGCAAACAGTCATTTGATGCTTAGCTCTAATCTTTTTTGGGAAGAAGTGGATTAGCTCTGGTCATCACCTAAACTCTCCATAGGACCATGTCTTAGGAGCTAAGTGAAGCTACCCGTGTCACTTGATGCTGCCTTAAAAAGAGTGCATATAGGCTGGCTGGCCTGTGGAGGAAAGGAATACTTTTATCACTTAAATGTGAGGTCATGCAAGAGGGTTTTTTGGATGAGGAAAGAAGGAATAGGATAGCTGAAGATGTTACATCTTCAACCAAAGCCCTGTCCTTAGCCAAGATGTTTGTTCCCCAGTAGATCTGTTTAAACTGTCTGGCCTAAGTAGCCATGGGCAAGGAGGCCTGTGTTTCGAAGACAGCTAGTCTGATGTCAGTTTAAAGTTGTTCAGGGATTATCCTTAGCCATGTCCCAGAATGACTTGGAGAATTTCTGCTGTGATCCTGCTTTGGAGGAGAGAGGAGCCGGGTTACTTGCTCCAAACTCCCTTCACGCCCAGACCCAGGGCAGTGCTCAGAAACGCTGCTGTTCTGCTGGCGGCCGCTCCGGCAGCAACACGGTGGCTCTGTCATCGAGGCCGCCTGACGGTCGCCGTTACTCGGGCGGCTCTGCCGCAGCTCGGAGCGCGCGCGCGGCCGCTGCCGTTGGAACGGCTACAGAAACCGGCTGGGGTTCAGAAGTCTCTGCCCGCGCCGACGCTTCTGAGGGCAAACAAAGCGTGACAGGTGTGAACGGTCCGTGTTTCTGGCTTTCTTCCAAATACACTGCTAGTTTTGTGATACTATAATGCAAATATAACTGTTATAGCCCCCATGCTGAAAAGTACATTTTTTGGCAAAAATTGGAGTTAGGAGATTTATGACGTGAAAGCCAACTGTCCTTTAAAGATCCTTCCCCTTCTGAAAATGTGTAATGTGAATGTGCAGGGAGAAAATATTCAGGTTTGCTTCCCCTCCCTGTCCTCCCCCCATCTGCTCCTCCTGAGCCCCTCGCGCGCGGTGCCGTCCTCCGCAGGCCTCTCACCACTCCGCAGGCACCGCTGCGAGCGAGGCCTGGAGCCAGCAGCCAGCAAGGAGTTAAAGGACTGCTGCCGCCGCTCCCCCACTGTTGTTTTGACAAGCATCTCTGGTGATTTGAGTCCCTAACTGCTCCCAAGGCTTATAAAAGCAAGCAGCCAGGCTCCCACGTGTTTGCCTAAGGAGAGAGCCCAAATTGGCCTGTTCCTTGCGCAGCCTGTGCTCACGTAGGGGCTTTTCTTCAAGTTGTTTTGTTATTAGCAACCTCCCTGTTAACTTTAGAGCAGGAGTGGGGGAACCTGGGAGAAGTCCCGCTTTGGAAAAGGTAGCTTGAACAGGGGTTTTCAAGAAAGGGGAGAGAAGATTGTGTGGCATTGGTGGGTCCATCTGCACAGGGAGGGGGACAGGGAGGGCAAGGAGGCCTTGCTGGAAGTGCAAGTGCCATGCGAGGGTGCTGAAGCCCTCCTTGCTTGTGTATAATGACTCGCATGGCTGCCCACTCTGAGGCTTTTTATCTGCATTTTTTTATTCTGTTGAGACTGATAAAGTTCACATGTCTTTCTGCTTACTCAGCTTTGCAAACGCAGCCACTCGCCATCATACATTGCAGTTATTTTATGCATGGTCTACTTAATTTCTTTGTTTCTTCTACTCCTGCCTCTACTCCTTTCATCCGAAGGTGGCATAGGAAATGTCCTTATCTAATCTTGAAAAAGCATCAATTTTTTTTTTATTCTTAGCTTAATCGCTGATTGGAACTTATACTTTAAAAAGAGGTAAATCAAGGGAGGAAACCTTTTTTGAGTAGTTCTTTAGATCATTTTGAACACAGAGTAAGTTTGATGTGTTAAAAGATAGTGTTATTTATTCATTAATTCAAGTGTGAATGCTGACTGCACTTAAAACAGTTGCTATTTGCAGGAAGTGCCAAGTCGCTGCTTGTTTCTTAAATTAGTGTTGTCAGCTTTGGATCTGCCTGGAAGCCCTCACAAAAGGAGAACATCATTCAATTGGAGCTCCATATTGTAAAGATACTGTTATTTGGGAGTTGTTAATAGTTCTGCTTTAAACTTACAAAATAATTACATTTAGCATAATGTCAATTATCTTCAGTGTTTCCCCAGGAGATTGCATTGAGTTTAACGAAGAGCAAGGGTGCCACTTTCAGAAAGCTCTGAAAGTAGAGAACAAGTGATACCTCTTCCACCTATTCACCCTAATAATCTCTAGTGCGTGATAGACACTCTGCTGCATGTTTCTCTGGAGCAAAGAAATTCTCATGCCCATGGCACAGAACTGCCTCCTGCGTGTGCCAGCTTGGGCCCAAGAAGGAGGAGGTGGGTTGACTAAGTGTGCAGAGCCTCAGGGGCGGTCAGGCTCGTCATGCCCCTGGCTGCAAGAGGATGAAGTGTTTCTGCGTTCAGCTTGGAAGCCGAGCGGTCGGGAGGGTGATGCACTTGCGTACGCACCGCGCTGGGGAAAGCAGCTGCCCCTTACGTAGATGCATCAGGCTAGTTTTCCTATAGATAGTATAGGGTAGCCAGAAGATGCCTGCTCCATCTTCAGTGATCTTGCTCTTTGACCTGAGTGCGGCTGCAGTCGCAGCTCTGCGTGTTGCGAAGCCCCATCTTTCTCTGAAGGCAAAGTGCCATTGCCTTGATGTGTGTTGCTTTCCACGTGCTTAGCGTGTTAGGGGATGGAGAGCCTCTGTGGACGCTGCGATGGTGTCGCCTGAGGCTGCCAAAGCGCCCGTGGGCACCTTGGCTTGCTCCGACAGCAGCTCTTGTGCCCATCAGCAGGCTGGAGTCAGAGAAGTGCAGTGAGGGCATTTGTCATTGCTAGAGGCTCCCTGCCCTGGGGCTGTTAGGCTCTTCTAGCAAATTGGTTTAGATTTGGTGAAAATGCTCACGCTCATTACCCAGGAAGCAGCAGATAGCAAAGGGAAGGTAGCCTTGGGGTTTATCAGCTTGGAGTGGCCAGGGATGGAAGGCAGAAGCGTACGCTGCTAGGCTGCAAAGCAATTTATTACGCAGATTTTCTCTGAATTATTTGGCAAGCATTTCTTTTGCTGCTAGCTGCCTGCTGTGCAACAGTGCCCAAACTGGTTTTAAGATTTGGGAGTGGTTTAATTCCAGTCTCTCCCGCCACCCCTTTCCTATGTAGACCTTGCATATTGCAGGCTCCTGCATCTGATGGGCTTTGCATTCAAGGCTGCTTAAGGAGGCAAGATTGAGCACAGAACTGCTGCTGCATGTGGGGCCAAATATGCAAGGTAGTGTCCAAGGCAGAGGGAGCCCAACTTGAGCTTCCCTGGCCAATCTAAGAAGAGCAGAAGTGAAATCTCAGGCTGTAGTTCTCAGGGGGAAAAAGTGTTGTTCTTGGCCTCTCTGACCCATCCCTTGCTAAAAGATCGGATGTGTAGTATACATTAATTTATGAAACATGAAAAAACTATTCTTTCCCCTTTACCTTTTCTGGTGGAATACCGTTATTTCTCACCTGAGTACCAAACCTTTTCCCCCTCTTCTTCCTTGCATGTGTGCTGTTACGTGCAGACACACCTGCCTGCTTTCCCAGGTAATAGTGATGGCTTCTCATCACCTTCCTGCTGCTGCTACTGAAGGAGAGCAGTGTTGGAGCTGAACTGTGTGTGTCTAGAATGATGGTGCAGACTTTTCTAGTTCATAGGGTATGCTGGGTTTTCAGTAATATTGCAGACTCAGAAATACGTGTGTGTGTATATATCTACATACAATAAAGTGTATATACATTTAACTTTCCACAAAAGGCATCATAGTACCTGTATATGTGGGTGTTGCTCTTTGTGCCTGCTGTCTCTCCTGGTTTGCATTTCTTATGTTCTCATAGATGGGCTTCCCTTGATTTCTGTTGTATTTATGCAACCTAAGGGTGTCTTCTTATTTTATCTTATCCTTTTAAAGGCAGAAAAATCCTTTGAGGACTCTTAAGGATTTCTTCTGTTCTATTCTGCATGCTAATTTCTAACTGCTTTGAATTGCCTCACTGTTCTCCAGCTGCATATCTCGTCTTCAGATGTTCTTTTGCACAAACTCTTGAGATGGCATTACTGCTGCTGCTGCATGCTGCCACAACCATTTTGACCCCTTTGTCTCTAGTGAAAACAGTCGGTAAGACCAGCATTTTTCTTTCTTGCCTTCAAATGAGAAGCCAAGCAAAGACTTGGGAGGACAAGATCTAGCTTGGGAGGGGGGCCCCCATGCCCACTGCTCGTGTGTTTGATATAAAGACCAGGAGCCAAGGGAGAGGGCTTGCACCTGGGAGATATTTGCCCAGAATCGCCTCACAAGATTAGGAAGTAGCAGTATGGGACAGACTTGTGCTTCTCCTTTTGAGTCAGGAATATGATTGTCTGCTATACTCCTAAAACATGTGACATACTGGTCTACGCTGGACCCATAAGGGCTGCAAGCTTTCAGAGAGGGCGATATCAGAATCTTATGGACATAAAATGAGAAAAAATGGATTTGAAGAATAGGAGCAGATCCATGATGAGCCTTCACACAACTTCAGGTGTGTCCTCAATGTGCAACTCTCATATTCCCACGTGCCTAGCAGATGGAAGTGTGGGCATGGTTTGGTTTGAAGTATCAAGTAATTCTGTGCTTTGCTAGACCACTAGGAGCGACTCAGCTTTCCCTCAGCCTGCTGTTCTTTTTATTCGGCTTTGTACTGCGATCTGCTTTATACAGTACTGATTTAAAGTTGTCATAGCACGTTTCTCATCTTGTGGGCTGTGTTTACTCATTGTGAAAACTGCAGCTTGAAGGCAAAACACTGCAAAATGTAATCTTGACAAGTATCTTGTTGCTTTCATGGGGAGGGCATGAGAATTACTGCATTCAGTTCAATTTGGGATGTGTTACAATCTCACCATAGTTTATTTCTAGTTTATTTCCCTCGATCTGTAAAGTTTCACCTTGCATAAATGTGATCTGTGTAGCTTCTTTGGTTAATGTGCAGTCATCCTTTCTGGGGGAGCTGGGGAGGAGGGAAAGGAGAAAATGCTGCATCAAAGTCAATGCCCAGAAGGTTGGGCTAGCTCCATTCTTCCTATACTGCTACCTTGGGAAATTGGTGTAATTTATGTGTACTAATACAGTCCTCATTCACCTTCGCAGGTGGAAGGAAATCTTCCTAGGTGTGTGGCATCTGTGTCCACTGCAGTGAAACAAAACTAGCAAATCCCTTTCCTTTTATCTAGCTCTGATTTCTGTCACCTCTCATTTTTTTCTCAATTTTTCATTGTGGCCTTTATCTTTTTTATCTTGAGGCTTTGCAGCTAGATATGTGTTTTTTGGTTTTTGGTTTTTTTTCCCAAACCCTGTAATTAAAGGATTCTTGGGACTGAGGGGTCTACAGACTTGGAGAATGCTGAAGGAAAAGGAAGGAAAACCAGCAAAGTATTATTGACATTGTTGGTGCAAAAGTGACTGTTGGAGAAGTGTTAAGGCTTCTGGCTGGCCTATGCTTAGAAGAGTGCAAGAGAAGCAAGTGCAAAGAGCATGTCTGGAAGCAGGAGGTACACTGAACTCTTTCAGCGGAGAACTGTGCGTGGGTGCCGGGGATGGGGTTTTCTCATGTTGCTGCCAGCTTTTCCAACATGTGCTTTCAGTTGATCTTGGGAGTTCAGCTGCATGTGTTTGGGTTGCTGCTCAGGTGGGTTTTGAAGAGAAATGCTAGAAGGTACATGAAGTGCTGCACATGCAGCCAGTGATGGCTTTTGTCATTAGTCATCAGTGTCCTCATATCCTGTTGCTGCTGGTGCTGTTCCAGATCCGGTGTAAAATGGGGGCTCTAAGTCTCATATGACTGCTGGCTCTACTCCTGAATAAAAAAAAAAAAAAAAAAAGATTTTGGAGGCCTTATGCTATGACCTGTGTGTTGCAGTATATTCCCAATGCACTGTTTGTTGTAGAATCCTTACCTCTTGACCCAGACTGTTGTGTGTTGTTGTATGTGCACCTGGACTGTCACCAGGTGTTCGGAGGAATGTTCTGGAATTTGTTTCCCCTCAAAAGTGCTCTGTTTTAGTTACCTTCCAAGTTGAAAGATGCTGCAGAAATAGTCGCCCTCATTTATTAACCCTTCCCTTGCTGCTTATTTTCTTCTCTCTCCAGATTACACGTTGACAGTGGAGGCAGTGAGACTGAAGCCGTTCTTTGTGGCAGGCCACACCTTTGAGATGACGTGCAAAGTGTCCTCGAAGAACATCAAGACTCCACGCTATTCTGTCCTCATAACTGCAGAGAAGCCGCTCGCAGATCAGTCCAATCCCAATGGTACCACTCGCATCATCTCCTTGAACCAGGATTCAGTGGTGCGGCTGGAAGACTGGACGGATCAGACTCGCGTGGATGGTGTGGTTCTGGAGAAGGTCCAGGAGAACGAGTTTCGCTACAGGATGTATCAGACCCAGATTTCGGATGCTGGGCTCTATCGCTGTGTGGTGACTGCCTGGTCGCCAGGTGGTGGTGGCATGTGGCGGGAAGCAGTGAATGGCCTCTCCAATCCTATCCAGATAGACTTCCAAACCTCAGGTTGGTATGAAATTTTTCTGGGCTGTGTCCAAGCCAGAAAAGGAGAGGAAGCTCTTGATGCTCTGCCAGTGGCTTTCCTATCTCTGGGAAGTGCCTATCCTTTCTTTGATGTGGAAAGGCCGTCCAAGTAGTGAGATGGAAGAGAGCTTTGCTTGTCTGCTTTGGTGGTGCTTGTGTGCTCTTCCTTCATGGTATTTCCTGGAGGACGTTTAATGAAATGCTTAGAAGCGTGACCCCTGGGTTTTTCTTTTCTAATGCAGTTTTTAAGGTCCTGCAGGCTCGGAGCTGGATTTAGTATGGAATAATTGCTGCCATCCTTGCTAGCATCATCGTTAGATTGCTCTTAGATAACGACTGCTTTGGAAGAGCTTTAATATAAACTGGATTCTGTTCCAAAACAAACTTAATTAGCATAGCATTAAATTGCCTGAGCACACCTTCCTGTTGATCTAATTGCGGAAAATCATCAGTTCAAGGCAGTGGTACAGCAACCACAGCAAATGTACTCTGTTACTGAAAAACTATAAAGGGTCTTTGTGGCTGGACTGCAAGGCTCCATATGTTGGGAAGCATTTTAGTACCCAAAGAGGCATCCTGTTCCCCACAACCTTAACAAAACCCTCCTTCTCGGCTCCTACATAGCCTACCTGACAAGATCTACCAAGGGAAATATGTCTGTCCTGGTGTACTGTTGAGGAGAGTGAGGGACACAGGAGTGGTTTGGATCATCAGAGGTGCATTTTAACACTGACTTCCTGTTGTCCTCGGTGGTTGGAAATGCTGTGGAGTTGTTTTATAATCATGGTGCCCTTAGGAGTGGAGGGCTTATCTCACAATTTGATAAACAAAACTGGTGACTTGGACAGTTTTGGCTCTCAGCCTAAGGGTGCCTCCTATGCTGGGGCTCTCTGACTTGTTTTTATCTCGAATGTCTTTCATTCCCCCACTCTGATTAATAAACATAGTTTTGGAATAGGTCTCTTATCACACTCCTTCATCTAAGTTACACTTAGATGTACTTCTTCTACGTTACGCTTAGATATGTATTAGATCCCAGCCAATATTGGGTTGGGACGGTTTTTAGAAGATATGGCTGTGACTAGGCTAGAGCAGCTTGTCTTCTGCTTGTTGTCATAGCTGAGAACAATATGGATTCTCCACTAGATAATTTCTAGAAACTGAACTTACCTGTAGCAAGTGCACTGCGGAAGTGACATGAGCTGAGCCTAGGGACAGCCATGGAATAAGGACATCAGTCTGTGAGAAGTTTTGAAGAGCAGCATCTTGGTATGAACCCTGATGAAGAAGCAGCCTGATCAGAGATGGCCTGAGATAGAACAGTGACTGAACTCAAAATTTATTTCAATTTTAGGTCATTTCTGCTTGGCTTTTTCTTTAGCTCTATGATAAAGAATTGTCTGAAAATAATCTATTAGTTACCCATGCTCCACATGCTTCTCTGAACAGCACAGTCATAGCTGAATATTGCTGTGGATTTATGTCGTCTTTTTAAGGTGTTTTAATGGGCTGTAGCTTCAACCTTGCTACTCTTGGTATCTGCGTCAGACTCAATAAGAAAACCAGCAAAAGGGAAATCAGTCCCAAATCCTTCCCCTCCATGCTGTTACCTAAAGACTTTCCTGTGTAAAAGTGGTGCTTGATTATTCTCCCAACATTTTGTGTTGCGTCACTTCGAAGTCCCATCCCCAAAATCCGGTGAGATGCAATTAATATCCATGCTTCCAAGGGACACGTGTGAGCTGTGCAAAGGAGGAAAGTGTCTATATTGCAGTCTCAACTTCTTTTCACTGTCACTCTCTAATCCCTCCCTCTTCCCCCAGATAGGATTTCCGATGCATGGAGTGAGGAAGGGGGCCAGCCTGGAGCACTGCCCTGGGAATGTGTGAATTCCAGTAGCAGGGCTGAGCAGCAGGGGGCCTGGTCCTGACACCCCTCAGCTTTTCATTCTTTGTGAAAGAACGGAGAGAGAAATGAGATCCCAGGCACAATATACTGAAGGGCTATTTCCTGAAATAATCTTGGCACGTAGCAAAATCTGGCTTGAAATCCCTTCCTTCCCACCACTAATGGATGAACTGTGCGTCCTTCATTTGTTACTCGAGTATCTGTGCTGGACATTCATCTCTGGGCTGCTTCTAAAGGCTCTCCTATATTGTGAGCACAACTTCTCTTTGGCCTAAAAAAGCAACCAACCCAACCCCCCCCCACCCAACCCCCTATTTGCTGTTGAAAAATCTTTGTTGTCTGGATATGTCTTGGCAAATGTGTCCTCAAATCTTTTTTGATGGACTTATTTGGCTATGTGAGCGCTGTGAGATTGCAGCCCTGCCGACGGGGCAGGGAGGGCTTGGTGAGCGCGGCTAGACGGGATGCTGGCAAACGCGCTTCCCGCGTCGTCGCCCGTGGCCCTCCAAATGTTCGGCTGGTCCGCGGGAGCGTGGCTGCCTCCGTAAAGTGCTGCTGGACTTCCCTCCCTCAGACCCCGCTCCTCTGCTGTGCCCTGTTAGTCTGCTCAGACAAGTGGAAATCAAGGAGAACTGTTTGGGAGCGGGTGTATGTGCTGATAGAGGGGGTTTTGTGGATGCATTGGTTGTGTCTGCTGAGGTGAACTGGCTTTGCACATGTGACCAACCCGAGGAGCCAGAGGTAAATGACCAAGTTGTGGAGCAGCAATAAAAGCTCAGTTTGGTCAACGTACTCCATTCTCACGTCGTGTGGTAGGGGTGCTTGCAAACCCCTTCCCCGAAGAAGGAAGGTGGCCTCATGCTTTTCCCCCCTGTGAATGGGGCAAGGGAGACTTGCTGAGGGAGCTAGCGGCCTCTGGGGACAATGAGAGACTGCCCAAAAGTTGGTGGGGAGGCTAGTGGGAAAGGTTCAGAAAAAGCAGGGCTGGGGGGTCGCAGCTCCCTGGGTAACAAGGAAGGGCTTTTCCTTGTGCGTACGTGTGTGCAACGTGATCTCTCAACAGCGGGAGGTCTGCGAGCTGCTTAGGTATGAGCAGGGGGCTGCATGCATGAAGCTTCAGTGTTTCCTGCCACAATAGGCCTGAAATGTAGCAGCGCTCTGAAATGTTTTTCCATGAACATCTGTGGAAAATGTCTTGCTCAGATTCTTTCCGTCTGAGGCAGAACTTGCTGGCTGCAAGCAGAGACCTTTTCTTCTTTCTCCGCTTGCTGCTGCAGAGAGACGTTTATGTTCCAGTTAGTTTATGATCTGAAACTTTAATGCAAAGGCATTTATTTGAAATTTCCTGAACTGAAAACTGAAAAGTGGATTTTGTCCAGTCAATTGTATGAACTGGAAGTCATGAGGAAAATCTAGTAGGCCATTAGTTCCCGTATATTCGATCAATGGCAGGTTGTTCTCTAATGTATATATTTTAAGGCCAGAATCTTGGGAATCCTCTGGGCTGGCCTTATGAATAACATGTATCATAAGACTGATTTTATAAAATAAATGCCTGCTGTGCGCCCATAACTGTAGCCAAACCAAGCTTATGTTTATAGAAGAGGAGGCAAACCCACCTCAGACAGAGACTCTAGGTAGTAGACTTACCTCCCTCGGCAAACTGAGGAAGAAGGGTGGCTCTCAGTGCTTGATTATTTGATCATTTTTATTTATTTTCCTATTCATCGTAACTTTTCTGCCATTTCCTCTCCCGTGAACCATCAGGTGGTGTATGTGCCATCAGGTATGTACATAGTCCTTCCTTTAGTCTTGACAAGTCTGCCTTAGGTATTCTTGGTTGTTGTTCTCCTGTATTTTCCTTTAGCATCCATCCTCTAATTTTCTATCCCTTCAACCTTGTGCTCAGCTATTGTAGAGGCATTGTGCTGTTGCAGAGACATTGTAGAGGTGTTGTGGAGTGTTTTTGCCCACTCCGTTATCGTGGTGTTTTCCACAGAAGTCACTGGTGTTTTCCTGTTCTTTGGGGGGAGCTGGGGGAAGGATGCTTCTCATCCTGTACACGAGTGTGTTATGGCAGAACTGTTGGGAGCTTGGCTGCCCTCTGGGCTGGCTTCCCCCAGCATCATTCAGCAGAGGGAAAAAGCTCTGGAGAAACAAAGCAGAACAAAAGGGGACTTCGAGGGAATCATCTCAAGGCTTCCACCCTGGATTACATCGGTGTGTGAGCTCATTGCACAGCAATGTGTTATCACTCGCTTTGGAATAAGTAGAGATAAACCAAGTGCTGCAGAAATATGAGCTGAGTATTGATGTTGAACTCGCAATTAAAATGGAATGATGCCCTGTAATGACCCACAGAGAGTCAGTTACAAGAAAGGGGAAGAGCAAGATTTTTTTAAAGGAAAGAAAACTTAATCATGGGAATGAATGAAGAGCGATATGGCAAAAACTCTGTGGCAAGAAAGGCCAGTATTTTCCAGCTCCTGTTAACGGGCAGGAACATGCTTCATCGTTGTGTGCTGTTGTGTGTATGGATGTGAATTTATAGCTGGAAATAGAAACCAGTGCCTGAATTACTGCGAGCGCTTTTTCCTCAAACAACTCTTAAGAGGTTTGGGGCAAACGTGATTGGGGACCAACAACTCCATGAAGAAACAGGGAGAGGGCAAGGTCTGGGGTAGTGTGGGAGTTCGTTATGTGGAGAGAGGCGGATCATGGGCTCCTCAGTTCAAGAATGGAAAATGCGGTGCCAGGAGAGAGATGAGTAATGTTTTGGACGCGAGAGAACTAGTGGATTGCATCAGTGTTTTCCCTTGAGGGTTTGTGGAGCTGGCTGGCTGCAAGCAGGGACGGCGCAGGCAGCGATGGCTGCCGCGGTGCTGAGCAAGGGGCTACGCGCCGGGGTCTTGCCCGTACGGGGTCTCTGCCAGTCTGGTGACTTGGCCTTCCTCTTTGCTTGTCTAGAGAATAAGGACACCTCAGTTCTTTGGGGAGTTTATGCATTGTTTTTGCAGAGAACTGCTGGCAAAGATGAAGTAGGGAAGGTTGAAAGGTTGCCTAGGATCTAGGTAATGAGGAGTTCTTTCTGCTCTTATAAATCCAGATGTTAACTGGATTTTGATTATTATTGCCTGTGTTCTCTTTCGATTTTTGGGAGACTGAAGTTGTTTGGCTGGTTAAGCAAAGTAGGAAGAATGAGGTGAGATCACTTAAATAGGGGACTGTGTGTTTTTTTTTTTTCCCCAATACATAATTCTTTAAGATGAGAAAATTAACTCAATGAACCTGAGCTCCTCCTTTCAAACCCCAGCCTCTTCAGCCTGATTGAGCACTAATAATATACCAAATTTGGTGGAGCTCGGTTTCCATTTCATTTATATGTGGAAGAATTTGCAGTATATTTTCTAGCTAAGTCACTTAAGGATTTTCTTTCTCAATTGTACAAAGTCAATGATTGGCACAATAAAATTTGGCCATAGAACGAGGCATTCAAAAGAAACCAAACCAAATGAATCTTGATCCTGGAACTGTGTTTCCTTTAAGCACTTCTAGGCTGTGCTAGTTAGTAAACTTCTAGTCTCAGCTTCTTTTCTTTCCATTTAAAATAAAAATGTTTTTCAAGCTTTTGGAAGTCAATAAATGGTCTGAAAGCTGTTTTTTCATTCCCTTCTTGACTTCCAATGCTCTTTAATATAAGATTGTTATTACTTCATTAAAGAAAAGAGAGTTGTTTTTGAGATTGCTTAGTATGATGAGGAGCAGAGATTTTACCTGTGCTGAAAATCAAAGATCTCTGCAGCAGATGGCAGTTCAGGGGAGGGTTGATTAACTCTTAGACCTGAGATTGCTGCCTTGGTTTTGTAAGCCCAGGCTTTTACTGCATTTCCGAGTTGGCTGCAGGTGCAATCGTTACCTTCCATCCTGAAGCTACGTGGCTCTAATTGTCCCTTGGCTATGGAGCACGGAGCCGCTTTCCGGCTTAGCCCTGCTTGGCTCTTGAGGAGCCCCACAGGCCACGCTTCACCTGTCAGCCCTGCAACTGCGACTACATTTGTTTGTTTATTCTCTTGCATTGCCGGTAAGTGCCAATGAGCGTAGTTCTTGCTGTTGAATACGAGTGGCAAAGCCACGTGGTGTGTTACCTGTAAAGAGGTTGGGTTTTCTCAAGGCTACTGAGGCGCAAACTCAGATCGCATCAAGGGAGAGTTTGGCCTCTCCCTTCAGCTCTTCTTGGGATGCTGCAAGCGCTTGAATGTGGCGTCCTGAGACCCCGCCAGTCATCGTGTCTGCTGGGGGTTCCCTGCTGCCATGTGCTTGCATCCATGGGTTTCGTTTGTGTGGTGGTTGCTTGCTGCAGAAGATGGCCTGGGGGCACGTTTGTCCCCAGATGCATCTTAAAGGCTCTTGAGGATCCACCAAGACATCCTGTGGTTGCTCTGGTGTTGTTCTTTTCTGCTGAGGTGCTTTTCTTGAGTCTGAAGATGCCTGGTTAGGTTAGGTGGCAGTTTTGCTTGTAACTCACTAATGAATGCTGATTTACTCTTGCTTTTGTTTGAGACTGACATGCAGCTTGTCGCTGCTTTTCTCTTTCTATTGCCAGAAAGGCAGAGCCGAAGTCAAGGTAAGTTGTCCTCCTACTCCAGCTCAGGGCAAATATCTTTCCAGGCTGCAGATGGTCTCCTCTCCTGTCATGTTTGGTGATGGAGAAAAAATAGTCAGTGAAGATGCCTTGTTCCATCCTTTCGTGTCTGAGAGCAGCCTGAGGCCAAGGCACGGGGCCCGTGGGCAGAGAGGAGAGATGCTTCTCCTAGCAAGCCGCATGCCTCCGGTGGCAGGGGAAGAAATTGGTTTTCTTGAGCTAGAGCGAGGGAGGAGCACAAGCCCTGACATATCTCTCTGTTTTCTGTTGAAGTCCAGCCCTTCTGACACAGGACAGTGATTTCTTCCCTGGAGGTACCAGATACGTTAATTTGTAGGAAATGCGGACCCCGGTAGGGACATAAGCAAAGAAGAGGCTGTGGCTTAGGAGGGGAAGGCTGATGATGAAACGGCAGAGCAGCTGCTGCCCGGCAGCCTGTTTCTTGCCCAGGAAACCTTGACCCCTTGTGTGGGAGACAGGCACGAGCTGCGTTCAGTAACCCAGAAGTGTGGATGTGCTACCATAGTATGACCTTCCCTGACTGAGTGACCAAACAGCTTAGCTTTTGTGCTTGTAATACTCAGTGGGGTAGGCTCAAGCTCCACTCTGCATTAGGGGTTTGTTGAGCAGGCTGGAGTTTGAAGCCAGCGTCTACTGAATGCAGTAGAGGTCAGGACTTTTGATCCTGAAATAAAGACCTGAGAAGTGCTATTTGTGTGTACCCATTTTCCCCTGATTATCCTGCCTGGGATCACCCTGCAGCCCAGCTCTAGCTGGGTGGTGCATCTAGCTGGGTCTAGCATCATGGTGTTCATCTGCCTCGCCCGACCCCTGCGATCATCTGGCCGGGCAGGGCTGTCTGCAGGAGCGGAGCCCGAGCCCTGCTGTCGGCGTGGAGGGGAGTGCAGCGCAGCCCATGTTGCTGACGCGGTGTGCGCCGTCGCTCGCTGCTGGGGCGCCGTGCAGACCCAGCAATGTGGACAACCCACCCAGGGCTGTGGCTGTGCTGCTCCCTGCCTGGTCACTGCAGCAGGGGCTGCGAGCTGCAGGGGCCCCAGGGAACATTTGACAGTCACTGGCAGCTCATGCACAGCTTGAGACTTGTCAGGTTTGAGTTGGCCGGAGAGCTATGGTCCCTTCTGCCTTTCTAAGTAGTCCCTGGCTGCACAACTCTGGGGAAAAAGAACATGGAAAAGATTTGGTTTCTTCTGAAGAAGATAGTAAGTGCAAGGGAAATATACACCCTTAATATGGGGGTCTGTAGTGGGGGCATAATGGGAGTTTAATGGGGGACATATTAGGAAACAAAGTTCCCGTAGAAGGAGCCTGGACAGAGGCTGAGGAAACAATGAGCTTCCTATTTCCATTTTCCCAGAAGGGATCCCAGCACATGAAACCTAAGTTAGGAACTGCTCATGAAGTCCCTGCCTTAGCAGCTGTGCTTCAGAGTGTTGGGGCTTTTATTTCCTTAAATACATTCTGGAAGAAGCATGTAGGAGTTTCAGCCAGTGGCCTACATACAACCTCTAGTGTCTCTCTGCCCTTATTTCCCCTTTGCTTGGAGGGCTATAGTGAGAGAAAGGGTACGACACCCCCAGGGCTGAGTGTGCACAAACTACCAGGAGGTGCGAAGTGCTGCTTTTTCTGGGGCAGAGAACAGGACTGTAAAGGATTTACAGTTTATAATAAAGAGCAGTACATTGTGCCCACTGGAAACTGGGGAGGGGAATTTAAGAAGCTACAGAGTCATTATTGCAATGTAATTGGATTTCAGCTCTTAGTGTGCTGTATAATCTCTGCTAACCAAAACCAGATGGGCCGTTGCGGGCTAGAATAATTTCACTAAAAATGACAGCTCTGGCTTCATGGCATCTCCACATCTCTTTCCAGAGCCTCAGTTTGGAAGTGATGTGACAGCAGTGTGGTATGGTGACAGGGCAGTTTTTAATCTGAGCCCCAGGTTCCTTCTTGGATTCCCCGGCCTTCTCCCTCTGAAGCTGTCCTGGAGGGAACTATTGACAACAGCTTTCCTCCTCATCTCCCTCGCTCTATTTAGTAAAGAAGTCCCGAAGGGTATTTGGATTGTTCTTCAGCTTCTGCCTGTGAAATGGAGAGTAGTAGCAATGTATCTGAAAAGCTGTGTCTTCATAATTTTGCACCAAAGATATAGTTACTGTCAACATGTAGGATTTTTTTTTTAGGTGTGCTTCAAATCAAACTCTCACATCCCTACGATGTGAGCATTTCATAATGGCCTAATGGTTTTCGTCAATATCATCACCACTGTAGTTAGAGGAGTTCCTGTACCTCTAGGCATGACACATCTGCTAGGGGAGAATCTGTCTGTGATGAAGCCTGAAGGAAAACCCACAGAAAAGCGTTAAAAGCAGATTTTATTATTATGCTTATATTTGCTGCTTCAATCCCACCGCAGAACCATCTGTACTGTATAAAGACTGGTTTGCTCTAACCTCAATTCCTATTGAGAACCTGATGCAAAAAGGTCTGAGGATTTGAACTCCCTTGCTCTTGCTGAAGTCGCTGGTAGTCACTGCTGTAGTCGCTGTCCTTTTGTGCAGGACAGTGGGCGGCAGATTGGGCAGCAGCTGCTGTGTTGTCCGTGGTCTGTGATCGGGCAGAACTACAGGTCTGACAGTTTGGATACTTTGTCCTAGTAAAGGAGTTAGTGGCTGAAAATGGGTTATTGTTTTGTCAAGTCTATTACATGATTACTTAGTACTATACTACTACAGACCTCTGTAAACAAGCAGAGAGCACTTTAAAAGATGCAAGGAAAGAACACTTTAAAAACACACACGAGAAGCTTTTGAATACTGAATAAAAGCCTGTTGTTCATAACTGTGTTTATTCTTTTTTAGGTCCCGTGTTTAATGTCTCAGTGCATTCGGACAACCAGATGATTTACCAGGGTGAACTGGCAGATTTGCTGTGTATCATCACCACGGAAGGAATGGCGCTTGAGCCAGGTATTTCTGCAAAAGCTGTCTATTGTTGCAACTTATTTTGCCTTTATTCTCTCAATAACACTGATGGTGTGGACCCTGTATTTCTTGAGGGAGGCTGAGGGATTGAGGACCAGTATGGAAGTCTTAATATGGCAGCTAATTCCAGGAGAGTGTGTTTGCTTTACACAGCCTCATTTAGTACCAAACTTTTCTTCCACATTGCGTTGGGGAGAGGGGGAGGTGTTCTTACTGCTAAATCCACCTGTGCTCTCTGTACCAGCTGATCTGTACTGCTGCCAGGCTCTACCTGTAACCACGAGATGGACCTTGACAAGTCTTCCTGTCATCTTTAATTAGAAGGACAAACCTGTTAGGAGAAAACACTGTCATTTATGAAGAAGTCTTAAATCGGCTGGCCAGTCAGATTAACACTTCAGAGTGGATTTTCCATAGAAAGCTTCAGAGTGGATAGGACTGTAATGTAAATCTAACAATCGCAAAAATTGCCTACTGTAGCTTAAATACTGAGAACTAATATTCCCTGCTGATGCCTTCAGAGGTGAGCCTCTCTTTTGCATGAAAAAGAAGGAATAAATGTACTACGTAATTGCTATGAAAAGGGCAATGAACACTTTAATGGCAAACTTTCATGAAGGGCTGGAAAGTTCAGAAAATAGCTCAAAACTTAGCTGCTTACCAAAGGTTTCCTGAGCTGCTTTTCATCAGGAATGGTGTCAGAATACCTCTGGTTGCTGTAGTAATGTAATAAAAAATTGGACTTGGTATGAGTTTAGTCCTCTTTTTCTTCCCTCCCCTTCCCTCCCCTTCCCTCCCCTTCCCTCCCCTTCCTAATACAAATCTAAATATATAAGCATATAAACAGAGATGTGATTCATGTTAAGCTTCCATAAAATTCTGCAAAATGGTGCTGTGCAAGAAATACTGCATCTAGTGTAGCTGCTGTGCTGCTGAGATGAATTATCAGGTTTAGGAAGTTCCAGACTGTCCATTTTACTTGAAATGTGAGTGTAGGACTGAAGCAATCTGCTTAGTTCTGCACTTGTGAAAAAAATGATAGAAGTGAAATGCTTTGGAGGTGGCAGTGGTGGGGAATGAGTGAACTTGATGGCAGTCAAAAGATTCGCAGCCTCTCTCGATAAAACCCAGTCTGCATGAACGTGCCCGTGTGTGTTTGCCTCAGCCTGTCCTTTGCTGTGCTGAGCAGAAGTCTCTTCCAAGCTGAAGGGCTCCCCAACCTGTACACATATTACTGCAAAGCACTATCCAGAGCAGCTGCTTCCTTCGCTAAGCAGAACTTGCTGCCTGGGAGCAGCTGCTGCTTCTGCTGGTGGTTAACAGCTGAAATAAGCTTGGGGTTGTCTTGTCACAGAGGCCTCAGCATCCTTCATCCACTTCAAACTGGGAAAGAAGCTGCTTGCTAACGGGGAAGGTCACCTGCCAGTGCTCTGCTGCAGCTGGCTTGGTGCTGTGCATGGGAGACTGGGAGAAACTCTGGCAAGGTAAGGGTGATTGAATGCATTTAGGCAAAAAGGGGGCCTCTCTAGGGATCTGCTGATCTACACAGTTAAGCTTAAATTCGGCAACCTTAGTAGAGGGCATTGATGTCTATTAAAGTGATAGGCACTATTAAAGTAATAGATAAAGTGTGTGGAGTTTGGAATTGTTGCAGTTACCAGAGATTGCTGAGCAGCCAAGGCAGAGTTTTAAATGTCAGCACTGTAACCTGTTCTGTAGCTGCATAACATCATTGTGAGCATGGCAGCTCTCTGCCTTTTTATTATTCTCTGTAACAGGGCAGAGTAGACGCATGCAGTAGATGTGCACAGCTAGGAGTAAAGAAGTGAGGCATTGGAGCAGGTGTTGAGGAACACTGGAGTTCATGCTCTGAGCATCAGGTTGCTGGGTGAGAGGGATTTGGGTGCCGAGCAGCCACAGTCTGCATGTTCTTGTGGAGAAAATACACACTCTCACACTCTAAGATGTGCCTGAGAAACTGGCAGCTCTCTAGACTAGCTGGCTCTCTGGATGAGGCTGGCAGAAGAGCTGCAGGGAGCAGCTGGGATCCCAACAGCTACAGTGTGGGTGGATTTCCCTTGTCACTCTGCGTTTCCAGCCTTGAGAGATGGAAGGGACTAGGGAGCGGGAAAGCAGAGCGGGTTAGGTGAAGAAGGGTCTTAAGGGCTTGTATGGTAACAACCAGGTGTCGTTATTCAGTGGTAACTCTTTCACACACCACGTCTCTGATCTGTCCCTGCGTGGAGTTTGCATCACAATTTGCTTCCCAACTGCGATGGAGCGCTTGCCTGAAATGCAGGGCAAAGCATTAGATGGACTGAAAAATGACAGCATGGTGTCATCCCTGTGGGGCAGTGAGGCACAGGTTTGGAGGAAGCCTGAACCAGCTCATCAGGAGTTGCAATTGCTGGCATCTCCTAGAGAAAAACAGATCACGGCGCCGCCAGCCTGTCTTTCTGTTTGGAGGCCTGGTGCAGGAGAAGAGGCCAGCGAGCACATTTGCATGGTGTATCCTGTGGTGCCTTGCTGCTTCCAAGGAGCCTGGGCTCAGGGCTTGCCCTTCTCGTGTCAGTCCTGCTGCCGTGGCGCATTCTGGGCCCGCGAGTGAGCAAAGGAGGATCGATGAGTTTAATGGGATCTCTTGCTGAAGTGCATGTCCTGAACAGTCTGAAAGTGCTCAGTCAGCTCTGCTGCTCTAGCCACTCAGCTTTGCAAATGTGTGAGCTGGTGAGCATGCATGCCTCATGTAATAAGGGGAGGAACGGTCAGCTGCCCTCTCTTTTCCCGCTTTGAGCACATAATCAGGAAAACAGAGTGCCTGCAAGAAGCTGAGGAAGAACTAAGTGACCGATGCTGTTTGGTCGTCGTCTGTGTTCTGGTTAGATGACTGTCTCTGGAAGTGTTAATTCTAGCAGAGGCAGCTCGCAGCGCTGTGTCTGTGTGTACCCGACCTGTGGAAAATCTTCAGAAGGGTGGAAAAGGGTTTTGCAGGACTCTGCATGCTTTAATTTCCTCTGTGGCTCCAAGACCCTGCTGGAGTGGAGTGCGTGTGGCCGAGGTCAGTGCACGGCAGCGAGTGCTCCTTCAGCTCGACGTCTGTAGTTGGGTTTGACTTGGCGTGGGGTGTGCAAATAGTGGTACTCCTGTGCCCGAAGATAAAAACCTGCTTCTGATATTTCTGTTGCATACATAGTTTCACAGATGATCTTTCTGGACTTCCCACCAGATGACCTCTTCTAGGACTATGTGGTTAGGAATTTAAGAGTTTCACTTTTCCTGCCTGAAAAGAGATTTTTTTTCCCCCCTTGTCATCTGTTCCAGACCTAGTGGGCATCCAGACAGACCTAGTGGGCACTCTGGAGAGTTTGACAACACCAGTTTGTTTTGCTTACAGCTTGCATGGCTTGAAGTGGTTTGGTCAGCTCCCTAGGAAGCCCTATTCAACCTCAAATGAGTAAACAAAAAGGGTCTCAAAATTGTGATTCAGAACTGTAACAAGGTGCTGAGAGCTCCATTCCGAGCAGTGGAAATGTATGGTTCCTAGGAGCTGGTCTAGAAACAGGATTCCCTGTCTGGAGGGCTGACTGGCCAGGGAAGCAGTTAAATCCCAGACAGCTTAGGCCCGTGTGTCAAATCGAAATGTACTTGAAGATGTGCTTCACATGTCGATGATCCTCACCAGCTGAGGAGGGCCAGCAGAGCAGCCCCGCGATTACTCTGCCTGCACAGCCACCAAGGGCCGAGTTCCCCCTGCTCAGGTTGCTGCAGACAGCAGAGAAGTTCCGTGGCCTGGGGCGCTGCCGTCCTTATGGATTCCATTTTGGGGGTCGTGCTTCTCCCTAGTGCAGGGGGCTTCATGTGCTTGCCCGGTTGCCCTGTACTTGCAGCGGTGTGGCCTGGGGATGAAGGGGGTGAAAGACACCTTCACGGGGGTGAGGGTGTATCTGGGGGATCGTCTGCTGTTGTTGCTGGGTTTGTTTTCGATTGTGAACAAAAATGGAGAGAGTGACTTGTCAACACCGATGCACTGTGTGGGGGGGATGGTGGCAGGTGCCTTTGGGAGCTAGCGTGTGACCTAATTTTTATGTCAGGAAAGCCATGTATTTATTAGCACTTGGGAGCTGCTAGGCATGTTCATCATTGGTGTTGCTAAATTTCCCTGTGTCTTTATAGCACGAAAAATTGTGTGATACATAGAAATGAATCAGATCACTTTGCTGCGTGACGCTACCTTACCGTGACAAGGAATACTCTGAGCCAAATCCTGCCTCTAACTCTGTGTGTCTGTAGTGAGTCACTGATTGCACACTGTGTGTAGTGACTAATAAAATATGTTGGCGTAATATTGTTGTCCCATGTTGTAATTATAGAAGATAAATTCGGCAATTTCAAAATAACAGCAAACGTCTGCGCTCATTTCTGTACATGAAGGGAAGGGAACCTCAAATGAACCATTTAAGACTGGAAAGAAGGAATTCTTCAAAGATAACAACTTGTCTGGGAATCTGAAGGTTGATATTTCTTTATTTATTTAAACGCTATTGTTGCAACCGTTATGGCAAATGCAGCGGCATGTTCACTGCAGTTGAACTGGCCCTGAAAAGCCCCACATGCCCCTGCAGTTTCTGGAAGCACAAAGAGCTGGTGGTCTTGATGGTCTTGGGGAGGAACCGGTCATCGCCAAAGTGACTCCGTGGGGGCTGCTGCTTTTAGCCTGTTCTGGGTCCCAGAGCGGTCTGTAGGAAGGAGCTGTCTCCAGGAGAGGCCCCGTTTCCCATAGAGGGTCAGATGAGTTTGCAAGGCAGGGATTAGAGTTTTATTCCATTATCTTAAACTGTGTATGATTATTTTTTATTAGCTTTGCTTCTGTGGGGATGGGGTATCAGAGTGTTAAGTGCCAAGTAACTAACTGTAGTATTTGCAGCGTGGTAGAGGAGAATGGTCGTTGTGAGGGCAGCTGGTCCATGTCCTATGCAGACCTCTAGATGTGACTGGGACGTCTCTTCCTGCTGTCGGACTGCAAAACGTGCCAGGCCTCCTCCTGGGGCTCTGTGTCATCACCCAGAGCAGCTGGCCGTGGCAAGCAGGGCAGCAAACTGGCTGGTGGCCCAAGGCAGTCCGCTCAGCCAGAACTCTGATAGGAACAGAGTGCTGCCATCTGCTTTCTCATCCATCATTTCAGTCTGTTTGAAGATGTGTGTGAAAACAGCACACCTGACCTGTAGTACTTCTTTACCGCTCATTTCCTCAGCATCCCTGCACAGAGGAACCTCCAGGGAAGCTACTTATTACCCAGACAGAGGGTGCTTTTTGTCTGCAGTGAGGGAGGGTGTAGTGCCTGGCCAGCTGATGCTATTACACGTGAAGTAGCAGAGCTGAGGATGTCCCTACTTTGCTTTACAAGACTTCTTAAGGTTCTCTTCCTTTCTGAGGTGTCAGTTTGCCTGAAAGAGGCTTAAAATCATATCCACTTCAAATTGTGAAGAATCTGAGTACAGCAGCAGGTCTAGGGCTTTATTTATTTTTATTAGCCAGAAGATCAGATCTGGAGGAGAAGAGCAAACTCAATTAGATCAAAGATCAGTTTTTAGTTTGAGATTATTAATACTGTATTTCTCGCAGATCTCAGCACTAGCAGGGGAGGTTTGATATGCCCCTGAGTTTATAGGCAACTGTTCCAGTTGTGAAAAGGTTAAGTCCTGGGTACCCTTTCTGGATGTAACAAAAATGTACATACGCAGATAGAAACCTCCGTTTCCAGTTTGGGCCTATCAGCCTGTCAGTTTGCCAGGGATTAAGAGCTGTTGGTGAACATGGATGCATCCAGCCCCTCTCTCTTGTCTGGGGGCATCATACTCAGCTTAACACTCTGGTAGATGTTTCTGGACTCATGTAACGTTCATGAATTGTCTCCCCATATGTGAGAATCAATTTATCCGGAGAGTGGCGTGTCTAGCATGTTCAGAATAACGTAGTAAATTCACTAAGTGGTGAGCAGAAAAGGCATGATGCATCTTTCCCACTCATCATCACTTTAGTAACTGCGTCCAGAAGAGAAGGGTTCATTCAGGCTTTAGGTTCTACACATCTTGATTGTGATAGTGTCTCCCTACTGCTGTCAGGTGGATTCCCTTTCACAGGGCTCCGGAAAATAGGCAGCATTCAAATCCTATTTTGCTTTAAAAGCTTCTGTGCTCTCTATCTAGTTTGTATGTAGTAGCATCCCCTCTGTTTTCTACCAAAACGCTCTTGATGTCCTGCAGAGATTGCAGTGGTTTTTAAAAGTGTCTGTTCAGCTACAGCAGCCCGAGAGAGTTAAGACTGAGCTCTGCTAGTGGGATCAATAGAACCTCGCATGACTGTAAAAAGAGCTGGCTGTGCTGCTGATGGACTCTGACTAGCTGTCAGCTGATGTTAAAGGTGAAAGACGCTGCAAAGGCTTTTTGTAGATTATCTCCTCGGATAGTAAAACTTGTACAGGCAGGATTGACTGATGATGCGTGCCAGTAAACATCAACTGTGGAAGACGCGTAGAGGAGCGCCATGGTCAGGCTTTGATCCTGAACCCTTTGTGGTTTTGTGGGTAATTCTTAGGTGCTTCGTGTAGGATCTCTGCCCTCATTTAGGCAGACTAAGCATGAGTATGAGACATCTTTAGGAAAGAGTCTTTCTGACTTGGAGGCTGCATAGTCCCTGCAAGAACACGGCGATTGCAAATCACTCCCTGCTTGTAAGTATGTAGCACTTCTAATTCCTTGTCACCATCATTTCAGCATCAGTTATAGTGCCTCTTATGACATTAGACCTGCTTAGTGAAAATGAAATATCAATGTTAAGATGGTAGGCAGGAGAGCAGGCAATCTCCTCTGTCATCCGTATAGTAAGTCACCCTTCCTGTGCAACTATATTCTTTCTGTCACTTGCAATTCAGTGCTTTTACCCTCCCACTAAGGACATGTTCAAGGCATTTGCCTTCCACTGTCAAACCAGCCCTTGACGGTCTTTTGTTTTTGCTCTTAGCTCCAAACTCACTCACAAGCTGACTGTGCTTCCCTTCAGTCGTCCTCTGTTCCTAGGACCACTTTCCCAAGCTAACTGGTAACATTCACTGCAATTCTCCTGGTAGCTCTTCAAGTCTGTCTCCTTTCTACCTTCCATATCGTTTTCACAAAAACAGCGTTTACACTGCTTCTACACGTTGGAAGGTCTAGGGAATGCCAGCATTGCTTCCCAGCTGTTAATTAACCTTTAGAGTACTTTCTGTGAATATCAATCCTAGTTCCTCAAGTTTTCAGTGCTAATTATTTTTCATGTCTTAGCATTTCAGACATTCTTGTGCTCTTTAGAGTGTTTCTGATTCTGTCGTTAACCCTGCGTGTGCTGGAAAGCTGGTGTTTGAAGGACAGAGGGTGAGACAGAAATAATCATCCAGTTGTTGATGCCGCTTGCAGATTCACTCGTCTACTGATCAAGTGGCGCTCTGAATACCCTTGGAGCTCACCTGTCTGTCCAAATTCTGCTCTGTCCCCACACACAGATGACATGTCCTTTGATGTCTCCTGGTTCGCGGTGCGCTCCTTCGCCCTGGATAGAGAGCCTGTCTTGCTGGCCTCGCTGGACCGCAGAGGGATCATGACACAGAGCAGGAGAAATGGGAGCAGTGATCTCAGCCTGGAGAGAATCAGCCCGCTGGAATTCCGCCTCCGTGTGTACAGCTGCGAGGACCATGACTTTGGGAACCACTACTGCGTAGTGACGCCGTGGGTGCGCTCTGCCACCGGGGTATGGCAGCGGGAGCCCGACATCAAAGCCAAGCCCATCTTTCTATCCGTGAAAATGGATGGTAAGAGATTGCAATGTGTGTGAGGGGGTGTAAGCCGCTGCCATGCCTTTCAGTGGCAGATATTCCTGAGGTTATTTTTAAAAGTGACTGTGATAGTCTGATTAGATTTACTGTCTTTTTTTCTGTTGTTGTTGTTTTCAACCTCTAACTCAAACTTCTGTAATGTGGCTAGGCATGAATGGATCACACAGAGCTGAGTGTTCTCTTTCTTGATCTAGTGTTGATGTTTGCATAGCTGGGGCATCTTTTAATTAAGGCTCAGCATTCTCTCCAAGCGTTAACCCTCCTGTTGCCTGCAGGAGGAAGCCTTGGTTTGCAGCTGGGGCATGTTGAAGTACAGAGTCAGGCACGGTTAATATCAAAGCTGAGAACAGAGCACCAGAGCCCTGACTTCCTCTCCCCACTAACCGCAGAACAGGCTGCACCCTGCACTTTGTCTCGCCCACTTGTTGCAAGCGTTGCTAGACTTTTATGAGAAGCAAGATGCATGCGAGGTGCCTATGGTGAGGACCTAGCCTAGGTTTGTGCACTGGAAGCTTCCTTCTCAGCAACATGAGGAGAGGTCATGCTGGGAGGCCCCAGGAGCTTGAATGATGCCAATTTAGGCATGAACTTTGGAGTAGGATTAGACAGAATTGCTTAGTGTTAGCAAATGCATAGCTGTAATCCAACAAAGGATAAATAAATCCAGTCTTTGCCATTTGGAGAACTTCTTTTATAAAAAGAATACAGCTTTCATTTGCCTGTGGGGAAACCTTACAAGGCTTTTGTTTGGGGAAAGAGGTAATGGAATAGCTCTTGAAAGTGGCTCCTCTATGCTATCTCACTCAATGGTTTCTCTAGTGCTTCCAGTCTCCCTGAGGGTTTGGAGTGGTGAAGAAGAAGGGAAGAGAGGGTGAGGAGGTGAAACTAAATAGACCAGTCTTTGAAACCTCAAAAGGCAGAAGTTAGGAAGGGAAATTAGTTTAATTCCCTTCTGAAATAATTAATCTGCCCATGACAAAGGTGTGTGCTTTTTCTCCTTTCTTAGGGAAAAAACAAGTAAAGGCCCTTTGAGTTTCTCAGTGATGTAATGACTTTGTTTGCCTTCCTCTTTCAGTTCTGAATGCTTTCAAATACCCGCTGTTGATTGGCATTGGCCTGGCCACTGTCATTGGACTCCTATCCTGCCTCATCGGCTACTGCAGCTCCCGTTGGTGCTGCAAGAAGGAAGTGCAGGAAACGAGACGAGAACGTCGCCGGCTCATGTCGATGGAGATGGACTGAGTGTGGGAGCCAAAAGCAATTGCGTTTTGTGAGAGACTCGCAGGGATCTTGGACTGTGCTGAGACACTCACATGCAGGCCCAGACAAGACAGTGCGTTTCCTCTCCGATTTCAGCCTGAACCTCAAGCTTCTCCTTGTTACACATCATGTCCTGACAGTGCTCAGGTCATATTTAGCAACTCAGAGTTCTCCTTTTCCAGCAGCACTTTCTGCACAGGGAAAAGTCCTCCTAATGTGCAAACTCTTGAGCCTTCTTTCAGCAGGGCCCTGTAACAAAATTCACCAAGTTCCCTTTTTTGTCTGTTTATTTTCTCTCCCCTCATGGTTTTGAAAAGATTTGGTATGGTGGGGAAGGGGATGGGTGTAGGAAGGTGCTGGTAGAAGTGTTAAGCTTCCATCATGTTAACCAATCTACTCTTCCTGCCCCCTCATCACCCTTCCTCTGCCCACCCTCGTGTCTGACTCCTCTGTGTGAGGACAAAGACTGAAGAAGAGGTGCTTGCTGATGCCTCCTGAGGCTGCTCCAGTGAAGAGCTGCTTTACGGCTGTGACATGCCTTCTCTGGCTTTCAAAGAGTTTATGGTCAAGTCCAAAACAGCCTGCCTGGAAGTCTGAGATGTTTTTTCTTAAGGATTTTTATATTTTCAGCATTTAAAATTCTTAGCTGTGGTGAGTATGGGCTGGCTTAGTAACTCTGAAGAGTCAGTCCTCAGACAAGCATTTCCTGGATCTCCGCCTATGCCACCTTCTCCTCGCACCTCTCTACCTTCCCTTCTCCCTGCTCAGCGGCTCCTGTTGTGCCTCAGGCTGTTCTGCTCGTGGTAGTAGGGCAGTGTGATGTGTAGGAGTGTGGCCCAGCTTTCTGCCAGTCTCAGCAGAGGAAAGCTTGCCTTGGTGGTCACCGTATGGCTCATGAAAAAGCTGTGGTGAGTCCTTGTGTGTAGTTGGCCAACCAATAATCACACTTAGGGGAAATTTGGAAGCTCTGCATTACAAATGCATAGGCTACACTAACACTGTTGATGCTGGTCCCTCAGTGATAACTCCTGAGCCTGTGAGCAGAGTCTGAGGTCTGTGGTAGCTAAAGTGCAGCTCAGGTTTCCTTCAGAGTAGGAGTAAGAATTGGCCCAAGAGCAAGGAAGAATCCTTCAGGTTCCAGTGATCCTGGTCTTGTGCAAAAGGCCCTCTGTTCCCGGGCCTGCAGCAGGACTTTCCCCAAGCATTTGAGGCATATTTCTAGGTGCTATAAGAAGCCCTGCTTTGGTCTTCCACGTACTCTGACCTAGCTCCTAACAGGGAGCAGCTCCTTTTCTTGGCAGCTCTGTATTCCCAGCACAGCTGGTGTTTTAAGCAATAAAATTCAGAATAAAGTTACTGTGTATAAACAAGGAAGTAGGACTGTATCCTTTCGTGGCATAACAACCATGGTTTGGCTCGTGTCAAGGAGGGCGGGCTGTCTAGAGCTGAGGCCAGGGCTCCATCATTTTTACTTTTTTCTTTTGTTTGAGGAGGAAAGGTGTTAGATGAGGAAATTCACAGAAGGTAGTGGCGTTGCTGTACTGCTGCCAATCTAAACATTAATTATGTCCTTGATTATCTCCTTCACTAGCACCTCCTCCCGGTGCACATTCCAGAGGAGCTGCCGGTCTAATATTCTTGCTATTATGATGGCTTCATTTCATATTAGTACTTGGGGAATCTTCACTCAGTGCTGTAGCTGTTCTAGATTGAGTTTTGAGTTGGGAACTTTTATGTTGCAAACATTAGGAATTTTGTTCGGAGGCTGCTGAGGTTTTTCTGGAAAGCCCCGCGCACCCGCACTCATGCACGTGTCTAATTGGAAGCTGAATGAGAGACTGTCACAGTGGGCTCCACTTCTGAGTGGGGACTTGCGACTGCAGTTTGACTCATAGACATTTTATATAGTGATCTAAAACTGTCATACCCCAAACTTTTAAATCTCTGTGAGATCTTGGCCTGAACATCCATAGAAATTTTTCTTTCTGGCCTGTTGTTTTTCTCTGTGGGGACCTATAAAAGGGCCTGTCTTGCAGGCAACTGTTGCTGCATCTACTGAGGAACAGGGCTGAAACAGTCTCTAGCTTCCACTGTGAAAGCCCAGGAATCTGTCTTCGTGCTTTCCAAAGGAGAGGAGCTGAGGAGAGGATTCATTTGGGTACCACATTGACAACAAGAGTTTTTTCTTCCACTCCTGTTCTGCTTGCTGTAGTAAAATCTTGCTTTTTCCTTGGGTGTTCTTGGACAGCAGTATGATATTTTGAATTCTAGGTCTCCTTTCTACACTGACCTTCAGTGGCTTCTTTCCTGTTTTACCATCTGCTTTGCTCACTGCAGGCTTGTGGCATTGGGGGATTTTGAGAGGGCTTGACCTGGTTAAGTTTCAAGCATGGCATCAGTCACTTGTTCTCCTTGACGACTGAACTTTTGTTTATGTGCTCTTCGTTAAATTTGGGGGGGAAAGAGGATTGTGACTGTAATGCAATAATTAGGGAATGAATGAGCAAGGAACTGCCAGCTCTTCCCAAGCACACAACACAGCACACTTTCTCCCTGCTGGAAGAAACTCAGGGTTATTTTGATCAGGACTCCCTGCCACTTTAGTGAAAGGTCTCCATGCCCTTAGTAAATTTTGACCATCCTTCATGGCATGTAATAAACCATCCTTGTCATTCCAACTGAAGCAAGTTCACCACTAGCTCGTGCTGCTGCCAGCCCCGTGGAAGGCAATGCTGCATCCCCTTACACCTTGTTTTTGCTGTAGCTGGGAAGGCTAGAAGCTGAGGGGCTAGACTTGCCCCACAGATTTCCTTCTAATTGTGCCAATTTTGTATTATTCCCCTTTTTTAAAATACTCGGGCAATCTTACCTTTATTGAGAAAATGTCTTGGTCACTTTCCGTGTTTTTTATTATTATTATTTCCTGTGTGATCGGGTGCGTGTGTACGTGAGTGGAGATGTGTGTGATGTGGTTGTCTATTAACCCTGGAGCGTGTCAAGAGAGTCGGCTGCCTGAGAGGCAGTACAAGTGTCCCCATCCTCCCAGCCATGACCTGCGTTACTGTCCAAGGATCCTAAGGGCTCACATTGGTCTTCCTCTGTTTGCTTTGCCACATCTCTTGGTTAAGCTGGTGAATTCCTCCAAGCACTGGGAATTTGATCCAGGACAAGCTTGAACGTTGTATTGCAGAAGGACAAGATACTTTCTTTCATTTGTTTTGATTTCAAAGTTATAAAATGTTTGGCACAATTCCAGACTGCAGGTACCGAATAGTTCTAACAGTGCTGTGTAAAATGTTTCTTTTTATGTTAAAAATAAAGAGCGAACCTTTTTTGATTAAGTGTGTGCAGTGGGTCTTGGTCTTTGAGCTATGAGCAGTTCTTGCCTTGTAGCTTGTCCCTATGCAGACAGTGTTGTGGAGGTAGGTGTCAAATACAAACCTTACAATGTTGCTCCAAGCACTGCTTACCATATGAAATAAGGATTGTCCCTAATTTTTGGCAGATTTAAATAATTTGTCTACATTTGTGTGATGAATCAGGGCTCCTTATTGAATCTATGCTGTTTCTCCCTCCTCTGAAAGTCAACTTTTTTGAGGAAGTATCAGTTTTATTAGTGTTAGGGCCATAATTCAATCAGAAGTGTGTGTTTAATATTAGTTGTAAAACCTGGGCATTTTATATTGAGTCTTTCTTGACCTTTCCCTAAGCTTCTCATTTCTAAGGTAGTAGGATGAATATCAGTATCGTTGCTCCTGTTTGTCTTGCCAATGGATTAATCCATTTTTTTTCCCCCTTGTATTTATTATGGCACTATCTGCAGCTGCAATGTAAGGATACCACAATAACACAGTAAGAAGCTGACTTCTTTCCCGACAAGAGACTGCTTGGTGCAGAAGCAGTTTTGAGAGGCCGAGACTGGCTTTGAAAAGATGAGTTTGTGTTCGGGTTGGTGCTTTGCCTGCCTGAGGTTGCTGCTGGCTGGCCCACACTCCCGCTAAGGGAGGATCTTTGGCTTGGTCTTGTGGTCTTGCAGCCCATGTCAACAGAGACATCCCCTGTGGTGGGTTCCTCCGGAAAGCCGGGAGGCAGAACCAAGCTTTAAGTTCTTCAAGGGGGTAGGATCTATCAGCTGAGATAGGAAAAGGCTCTGAATGATCTCTGATTCCTCAGCAGAGCTGCTGTTAGCTGCAAGCATACATGTACGCTACCGAGTAGGGAGTGGGATGCTTGTGAGGCAGCAGCCTTTGTAGCAGTGCAGGTCACGTATCTCCATGCAAGTATGGATTAGCTGCAAGCGATCATGTCCCTCCACCTCCCAGGATGACCTGGATCTTGCTGCCCTGCATGTAGCAGTGTTAGGATTGTTTCCTAAAGAGGAAAAGAGCCAAAGCCTAAAGCTTGGGGGTGAGAGCTGTAGGCTGCTCCTCTGAGTATTGCTACGAATGACAAGAGTCTCTGCAAAATCAGTTATCTGCCACGGTTTGACACTGCTATCTGCCTATGGAAATATTTAGCTGCCTAATACAAGAGGCAGACTGGAAAGCACTTCTCTGTCAGAGCCTGGGTACTTGGTGGCTTCTGCAGCACCAGGCTTAGGCCATGTCGTTACTTGTACCTAGAGGCTGCGTGCAGGGGCTGCCCACTGTGGGGCCCAGTTGTGCTGTGCTAGCTCTGGCTGAATGCCCTGCTCAGTTCAGGGCTAGTCCTAAGGCCTTGGCTGGGCCAAACCAGACTAGCATTGCATAGTGTGCTTGAGGATAACCATGTTGTGTAGGTGAGGAACCTGATCATGCAAATCTTCCTGAGAAAAACTACTCTTTGGAGCATTTGAGTGGGATTTTACATTTTTACCATTGCAGGGGGTTGTGGTACCATAGCAGGTAACAGGAGAGAGTTAGATCATCAAGGAAGAGCCTTCAGCAGCTGAAGCTGTGTTGTTACACTACTGAGGATAAAGCTAATGGTAATCCTTGTATGAGGTAAGTAACGTGGCTAAAATGCAGCATGTGGCCTTCCATGCACTTTGGCTCCCACAAGTTTCTTAAAGCCTGGACTGAAGTGGGGGATGCTTCCCCCTCCCCTGCATATGGAAGCTGCAGTATGAACAAAGTACGTGTTGGGTATTTGAGAAATCACAGAGAAGATTCACAGAGAAGATCTCTGAGAGAAGGGGCTGGGGTTTGCCCTCTCTGGAGACTTCACCTCTGCAAAGGCCTTGAGTACATTGATATATGCTAAATGGGGAAAGACATATGAAAGCCGTATGTGCCTGCAGTCAAATGCAAGTTATCAATGCAAATAAAATGCTATTAAGCTCTCCTCTG